CATCTTGTTGGATCTCAAATTTGCTCTGCGCGAAGAGTATGGTCTTGGATCCGAGCGATTCGCCGGTGCGTGTTTTCCCAATCCATGTGATTGCGTGCTGCCGGACAGAGCCCAGCATCGGCAGCAAGACCTCGTTGAAGAACCAAGGTTTGAAACCGCGCAAAGTGAAAGGCCAATACTCCAAGGTCTTTGCATTTTGCCGCCCCCTCATGTAGTTTTGCAAGGCGGTGACCACCTTAGCTTCCTGCCAATTTTCAATTGGGCTTCCGGGTGTATGTATTTGCTCGTCAGTCCATTCCATGAACTGGTTGCGGTTGTTGCTGCGCGGCCCCTTTTCCCGGGTGAACCTGTAAGCCTCCTCCCTGGCCATATGATCTGCCGTATTCTTCTTTTGCATCTTGGGCTGGATCGACCAAAAGCGAATTTGGAAACCACCCATGAGATTAAACATGTAGTTGACGGCAATCTGCCCAGTCCTGAAGTGGTTGCCCCAGTGGAATTTGTGACACACACCTTGACAAAGATCTAAGCACATCTGCGCAGGTAACTTGTTCTTGTGGAGGTAAACATGCTTCACGATGTGCACATACTTCGAGTTTGGGTCCTCTGCTTCCTCTGGGGATGACACTGGGACTACAATGATCTGCATGAGGAATGGGACTGGAGGCGCTGCTTTCAAGCAAAAGGGAGGCGGAAGGTTGTTGTACTCATTCTCCATGACGTGCTTGAAGATGGTGGTTTCGAAGAAGTCATCCTCTTTGTCCCACTTTTCATTCAGACTGATGTCACAGAACTGTTCCAATTTTCCATCATTGGCGTGGACAAAGGTGAGTGGAAGATCACCTACTTCAACTTTTCCTCCATCACGCATGGTTTTGTATGGTTTTGGTTCTGGGCCTATCAGTTTGTTGCCGGTGACCTGCAAAATTGCTTCATCAAAGGTGAGCGCGCCATCCTTACATCATTTCAATGCAGTCAACATAAAGTCATCGAAACGCAATTACGTATACAGTAAAAAAAATCAAAACAAAAATCTACATAAAACAAAAATTCTTATATATATAAAGCTGGGTTGCCCTGGGAGCACCTAGTTCTCTTGCAAGGCCCTGCCCCCTTGCATCTGCCATGTTTCTTGTCCTACTTACTTGCTATCAGCTATCACGTGTCTCAGCCAAAACTTTGCCATGATACATACTAATCACACTACTCAAGATCATCTCAATAGATCATAAAAAAGCGCACTCTGACTACTCAAGATCATCTCAAGATCATAAAAAGCGCACTCTGACAAACACCCGGACTCTTAAAAAACAACTGTGAAGCATTCGCACCGTTCCCCGACAAATCGTCCAAAAGTTGCATACTCCCGACCGTTCCAGAGACTTCCCCCCAAGAGCCCCCGTCTCCGGAGCCGCTCCGCGCGCAACCACACAGCCAAACCCTACTCGAAGATTCCTCGTACCTTCTCTCACGCGCTCCCCTCGCAGTCGCAAGGGGTCGGCGGATATACATACATTACGTTGCATACATTACATACATTATGTACCATACCATACGCATATGCATACGCATACGCATACGCATATTATTGCAGGCATGCATATATCATATATGGCTCAAGGGCAAGAGTGCTCAAGCCAGCGGTCCCAAAGACTGGCTGGTGCGGCAACCCCCTTTCGAGCATTGCCTCGACTACTTGAGCAGGGAGGGCGTTCCACAGGTACAGCACATTCTTTGCCCGTCAAGCTCCTCGGCGGTGGCCTTGCCTTGGGCTGGGACTGGCCTGGGGGTCAGAACACGACTTAGCTTTCTTTGCTTCATCTTCACCTTGAGCCTTGGAAACTTTGACATCTACCTCCCAAACTGTGCCCATCATCCCGCTTGGCTTGACAGCCAGGACCAGTCACTTTGGGATCATGACCTTTTGCTGCAGCTTTCTTCCCTGCAGCTCTGCAGGTTGTCGAAGCTGGACTTGGAGGGGTTGTCTCAAACCCTTTTCCAGTTGTGGAGAGGTCGACCCAGCAACGAAGGCAAAGCAATCGAAGTGGGACATGACAACACCTGGACAGAGAAGTCAATCGAAAAGGTTCAGAGGGAGGCCACTGAAGCCTTAGCTGGCAGTCTGGCATCTCTTGATGCCGGGGCCCTCTATAGAAGGTGCGCAGGGTATTGGCGCTGACCTCAATCCACAGTTGGGGAACCCACCTAGCGGATCTCTTGGTTGGCCAGTCTACCAGGACCAGTCAAAGCTCTGGTGGAGAACCGAAAAATAGGGGCTACCCGGCTATCCAGTAACAAAAAGAAGTTGGAGAGCTGAAGTCTTTGTCCCCCAAGCGTTACCGTTACAGGCAAAACTGGACCAAAAAAGCGGGCCTACCAGACCATGTTGGAGGAGCTGAAGACGGTGCAGGAGAAAATCATCCAGAGCCAAAAGCAGTTCAAGGACACCAGCGCCGCCTATATCAGGACATACAGGGTGACTTTCAGCTCTTTCGTGCATGTTTTTATTTCGCTTGTTGACATGAAGCCTTGTTTTTGCGCGTGGTGTGAGATTCATGGTCATTCATAAACAACAAGTTTTGCTACGTTATAGCGTTTTGCTACGTTATAGCACGTGGAAATCCATGACAGGCAGCAAATCCTGCAACGTTGCGCTTTCCGAAGTGCTATGTATGTGCTTGCGCGGTTTCGCCTAGCAGAATTTATAATCAACCCTTGATGTTGTGTGAGCCCGACAAGGACAGTTTGTTTGAAACCATTCTCTTCATGTGTTGTGTGTCTCGGGGTTAGGGGCAGCGCAGACAGAAGATTGGAGCAGAAGCCGCAGTCACGCTGGCTCATGGTGGGGCCCCTAACCACCACTTCTGTTTTGCCAACCTGGCCGGCACGCTGCGCCAACCCAGCCCAGCCCTCACGGAGAACGCTGAATGCGTCTTTCGCATAGTACTTGTGCAGCAAAGAAAAAACGCTGTCTGGAGGCCATCCTCAAGCAGGCAGGTCTTACCATCAACCAGCTCAAGACCTGCTTCCTTTCCAGTTTGTCCTTCGTGACTTGGAGTTGATTCAACATGCGCGAGAAGGAAACGGGTGGTTCAAGTCACGCCGAGCGGACCCTGCGCAGGTGAAGCTGACCGCAACTGCGCTCCCGTTTGCGCAGCGGCGCCGGCCATTGTTGCGGGGGCTCGGTCTTGGCCGCCACGTCTTCGACGCGCGCCCAATATCAAGATCCTGGAGACGCGGAGCAGCGTTCCTTAAAACGCCATTAGACTGAATTGTTTTTTGGCGCTCCAAAAGGACACCAATGAGATCTTGCTTCGTTACTCACGCGAACCTAAGCAGGCCAGGTGTGCGCCATGTCTGGTCACAGTCAGAGAAAGCTGACCTTCTGAACCTTTGACTCGGCAGGAGAAAGTCGAATTGAGCAAATACAGACATACACACGTACACGCATGCATACGGACAATAGCGAAAATATAACCATGCATACGTACAAACAAACAAACAAACACCTATACATACATGCATGCATACTTACATACATACACACACACTTGGGGCTTGCTTCCTCACTTACTCGCTGACTCGCTTCTTGCTTGCTTGCTTACTTACTTACTTACTTCCTTACTTCCTTCCTTGCTTACTTACTTACTTACCTACTTACTTACCTACTTACCTACTTACTTACTTACTTACCTACTTACCTACTTACTTACCTGGCCTACTTACTTACCTACTTACTTACTTACTATTCACTCACTCACTCACTCGCTCACTCACTCATTCACTCACTCACTCACTCACTCATTGATTCACTTTCTTACTTACTTTGAGTCACTGTACTTTTACTTTTTCATACTTTACCTACCTGTCATACTTTACTTGCTCTACTTGGTATACTTGCTGCACTTGCTTTACTTTTTGTACTTACTTTCTTTAACTTTCTAAAGCTTACTGACTGACTGACTGACTCACTAACTTTCTTTACCTTACTTTACTTTACTTTATTTTACTTACTTTACCTACTTGCTTACACGAAACTTTCATACAAACGCTTACATACACACATACACATACACATACACGCACACATACATACAAACATACTCACATGCGTGCGTACATACATGCTTACTTACTTACCTACTGACTGACTGACTGACTGTTTGACTGACTTACCTACTTACTGACTTACTTACTGACATAACTACATACCTACATACCTACTTACGTGCTTCCTTGCTTGCTTCCTTGCGTACTTGCTTCCTTACTTACTTACTTACTCACTTACTTCCTTCCTTCCTTACTTACTTACTTACTTACCTACCTACTTACTTACCTACTTACTTACTGACTGACTGACTGTTTTACTCACTTACTCCCTTACTCACGTACGTATAGTTACATACATACATACTTCCGGAGGAAGAAGGTCTGGTACTTGGGGGTGGAAACTAATCCGAAGGCGTTCCAATGTGTTCCTCTGAATAAATTTCCCTCGGGGTGCAAACTAATCCGCCGGCGTTTCAATGTGATCCCCTGCGCGCCGCAAGTTTCCCTCGGGGTGGAAACTAATCCGCCGGCGTTCCAATGTGAGCCCCTGCATACTATAAATTTTTTCTTCGGGGTGGAAACTGACCCGCCGGCGTTCCAATGTGACCCCCTGAGTACTATAAATTGACTTCGGGGTGGAAGCTAGTCCGCCGGCACTCCAATGTGATCCCCTGAATACTATAAATTTACCTCGGGGTGGAAACATATCCGCCGGCATTGTGATCCCCCGTAGGAATCTAAGGGGAAACGGTTGTTGTTGGTTATGTATTCACAAACGTGTTACCAACTTTTGTGCTGGGTGTGTACACGCATGTATACAATGTTTTGCGATGGTGCGTGTGTGTATGATGTATGGCTGAAAGCCTCGACATGTTGATGTCGGGAGGTCAGGCATCCGACCCATATGTTCCCACTCAGTTCCCACTTTGCACCTCTTTTGTTGGCGCTAGGATGTCCACGCAAATCAATGAATTGCTGCAGAAGGGTGTGGATTCCGCTATCGTGGCGGAGGCTTTTAACTTGGACACCAGTGTCGTGGAGGAGGTGCAGCGTGTGCAGGCAGGGAATGCGGGGTGGATCCTATGTACATCAAAATGCTGATGTTGTTACAGATGCTGCAGGTAAGTTGGTTTCACTTGTGATGAATGCAGTTTCATTTCCATCCTCAACCGCTCCAGGGGAAGGAGCACAGCTGGTTTGGTTGGGATGAGGTGAAGCCTGGCATGCACACCAGATTCTGGACTAGAACTTGACTCATTTCAGCTCATGAACAAGGGTGGGGTGTTGGCTGAATCTCCACACGTCCGATTCTTTGGAAACTTCTTCCAGCTTTGCCGCCAGGCGCACTACCATCTTTTGCCAGAGGATGAGGGGGAGACAAAAAGGAAAACAGTGCAATTGGAGGCTAATTATGTCAACGTGTGTGTGTGCCCCTTGTAGTCACAGGGATTCTTTTGAA